GATGAGCGGCTACCCGGACGGCGAGGAGGACACGGTGGCGCTGCTGGCTCGTGACACCGGCGGCAGCAAGGAGCCGGATCGGGGCAAGGAGGAGCTGAGCGCCGAGAAGGGCCCCGAGAAGCCGGACCCCTCGCAGAAGCCCCCCTACTCCTACGTGGCCCTGATCGCCATGGCCATCCGGGAGAGCGCGGAGAAGAGGCTCACGCTGTCTGGGATCTACCAGTACATCATCAGCAAGTTCCCTTTCTACGAGAAGAACAAGAAGGGCTGGCAGAACAGCATCCGCCACAACCTCAGCCTCAACGAATGCTTCATCAAGGTGCCCCGGGAGGGCGGCGGCGAGCGCAAGGGCAACTACTGGACCCTGGACCCGGCCTGCGAGGACATGTTCGAGAAGGGCAACTACCGCAGGAGACGGAGGATGAAGCGGCCCTTCCGGCCGCCCCCGACCCACTTCCAGCCCGGCAAGACCCTCTTCAGCCCCGACAGCTACGGCTACCTCTCCCCACCCAAGTACTTGCAGTCCACCTTCATGAACAACTCGTGGCCGCTGGCGCAGCCCCCCGCGCCCATGCCCTACACCTCCTGCCAGATGTCTGGCGGGAACGTCAGCCCCGTCAATGTGAAAGGACTGTCGGGCCCGGCGTCCTACAGTCCCTACTCGCGGGTGCAGAGCATGGCGCTGCCCAGCATGGTGAACTCCTACAACGGCATGGGCCACCACCACCACCCGCACGCCCACCACCCCCAGCAGCTCAGCCCCGCCAGCCCCGCGCCGCCCGCGGCCCCGGCGGCGAGGGGAGCCGGCCTCCAGTTCGCCTGCGCCCGCCAGCCCGCCGAGCTGTCCATGATGCACTGTTCCTACTGGGAGCACGACAGCAAACACAGCGCCCTGCACTCCCGCATAGACATCTAGGGAGGCTCCGGCCGGCCGCCGCCACAGACCTGCCCTTGCCCGGCCCGCTGCCCCTCGCCCATCCCGCCGCGTTCTCCGGCGCTCTCGTGTCTCTCCTCCTCCTCCTCTCTAGCTGCGGGCTCTCCTCTCTCTGTGCCCGAACTGTTGCGGTGGGAAAATAGTAGCCCTGCTCCGCGTGTAGTCTAAGTGCAGGAGCCGTCCTACGGTGAGGAGAAGGCGGTGTAAGTGTGGGAGCTTCCCCAGCGGGGCTGCGCCGGGTGGCCGGGCCGGCTGCCTCGGGGCGAGCTCGGATTTACGTTCGTTTCTCTGCTCGTGTCTTTGTTTGTGAGGGGTCGCGGGGGGAAAGCATGTAATTAAAATCAGGCTGTTTAGCCCTCAGAATTCTGCTCCGGTGTAACCCGGCCGTAATCTTTTCGGGCTCAGCCTTGGGAAGAGTAAAGCGGAGCTTGTAAATAGCGGAGGCATTTCCGCGCGTGGCGGCGCGGGGCTGGCGGGGCCTAGGCGCTGCCGTGTGCCCGCGGTGCTCGTCCTCCTCCGCCTCTTCATCTTCTCTTTCTTCTTCCTCGGTCTGCAAAGCACTGCGCTTCTTCCGAGCTGTGGCTTTTCGTCAAAATAGTACTTACGTGGGGACTGCTGCAACAGCAGGAGATGTGCGATATTGCTGGTTATTAGAAACCAACAAACAAAACCCGCCAGGGTCACTCGTGAAACGTTTCGGCAACGGTAAATATATTTTTTAAAGAAGACAATGTCCTCTGAGGTCTTAAAAGTAATTTTATACAGGTCTAAAAAAAATATTTTGATGTTATAAAAAAAAGACGGTTTCCTATAAATTGGAATATTTTTCCGTGTGCATATTGTTATTAATAATGAAAGTTAAAACTATCTTCGTATTTTTCGACCCCAAACCTGGCCCAAAATGGATTTTCCGGTAGGTTCTGCTTTTGAATGCTTGCCCTTTTTCTTAAAACGTTTTGATCCTTCAATTTTACATAGATTAATGTGAAAAAAAAAATAGCGTTTATAATCCAGGGGCCAGTTCATAGCGATTTTATAAATGTTTATGTAAGCTGATAGATGCTGTGGCGTAGTACCATTTTGGGACCAACTTTTCTAGAGTGAACTAGCACTTTTATTGTACTTTCTAGCATTGTAAAGTCTCCAATAAAATGCCTTTCCTTCTTTCCGTACCGTTTTATTTCACTCCGCTCCTCCGCGCTCGGCATCGCGAAGCGGCAGCAGAGCACCGGGCGGGCCCCGTGTGCCGGGGCCGCTCCGCGCTGCCCGCCCGGCTCCGGGCGGCGGGCACGGCT